CTCATGGAGGGCCCAGGACTTTGCTTGTGCCTAGGCAGGAGTGCACCTTAGCGACTAATGCCCAGTACTTACAGGATTGTCGGAGCACCTTGGGAAAAGACAGGGAACCTCAGGCAAAGCCCTGTCCACTCATCCCAGGGATGCTGGCCCCCAGGGCGTGGACAGGGCTTTGCCGAGGCTCCCTGTCTTTCCTACACAGGCTGCAGTCGGGGGCAGGGAGGGAAAGGGGAGGGGAGAGCAGGGTTCTCTATGAGAAGGGATCCAGGGGGCCCCCAACTGCCCAGATGCCCTTCCTTCAACCCGCCATTGCTTGGTGTCTTCCCTCTGGCCTCTCCTTTCTTCTTAAACTCCTTCTTCCTTCTTATGCTCTATTATTCCTTCAAAACCTGGTACCAGTGCAGACCAGGCCGTGTCGCAGACACAGAGTCCCTGAGGTGGCAGGTGTGAGTGAGTGTGGTCTTGACTCAGGGGCTCCCCACCTGGTAGGGTAGATGGACAGGGGGTCCCGTGTCCATGACCTGAGGTGATAAGAGCTGTAATGAAGACGTGGGGAGTCCTCAGGCGTGGGCCAGGCTTTGGGGTATCGGTCTTTGTTGCCCAGTGTGTTTGGAGGTTGTCATCGGTATCACTGGGGAGTGGCTGAGGTGAGGTCAGTGACATCAGAGCTGAGATGGCATGCAGCAGGGACACGGGATGAGGAGCCCCACCTCTCCAAGGTCAGCCGTTCCTGGGAGCTCACGAAGCCCAGGGCAGCGGTGTCCTGGAAAGGGGTGGTGGCAGATGGAGCCGGTGTCTGAGGGCAGGATGTGGCGGATAAAGGGTCCGGAATGTTCTCTAAGCGTACTGGCTGAGGAGTCAGGTGCTCCTACCTTCATTTCCCTCTTTCCACAGGTGATGGCTGTCCTAGGGTGGAAGAGTTGGGGGAGATGAAGAAGCACAGTGCGCCATCGGTGTTAAAGTGGAAACTTGGGTGGGATGAGGGATCTGTCCGGCGGTCAGTTGCTCTAAGTTTCAGGAGTAGGTCGGAGGAGGGGATGATCCATCTAGGCTGGAAGAGCCCAGGGGAACTTAGCTGAAAGGTGAACTGTCGTTACTAGAAGGTGAATCACACTGCACAGACCTGGGAGTGCTTCTGTGTACAACTGACGCAATGCCCTGAGGTGGTGGGCTAATGTCTGTGGAACTGCATTCAAGGTGGACAAGGAGGATTCTCCTGTTGCCTTTTACTGTAGCACTAGAGAAGCATTTTCTTCTAGAGCATAATCAAACCTAAGACTAGGACAAATCTCTCATATGACACATGCAATTAAAACGTAGTTTTTGATCAATATTATTATTTATCGATTTATCCTGCTCTGGGAGTCCTACACTTCTGCCCCCCCCCCGTGTGGAGGTAAGGGAACTGACTGCCTTCCTGGTACAGGTGCAACCCCCACCCACGCACACACTGGGACTTGGAGGAAGGAGGTTGGGAAGGGCATGTACCGTCATCCTCTGTCACCCTCGTGTCCCCCCCCCCCCATTGCTGCCTTAAGATGAAAGCAAGATGTCATCACAGGAGCCTTTTGCCACCGGCAAAGCCACTCAATTTTGTTCCAGGTGAGGGTCCTTCATTGTGTTTCTCAAACTTGCATTTCTGTCTCCAATTTCCACTAGGAAATCCGCTAGAAATAGGGATGATCGTACCTACTCTACTGTTGTGCAAATAAATTAGGGGATTGTCTTGAATAGATTCACCAGGTCAGAAGTTTCCCTAGAATGCCGCCTTATTCTGGTTCTCCCTGTATCTTCAGCACCTACAGTGGTGTCTGGGCTTAGCAGATGCTCAATAAATGTGTGTGTGTGTGTGTGTGTGTGTGTGTGTGTGTGTTACTGGGGATTGAACCCAGAAGTGCTCTACTACTGAGCTATATACTCCCAGCCCTTTTTATTTATTTATTTTTTAAATTTTGAGACAGTGTCTTGCTAAATTGCTGAGGGTGGCCTCAAATTTGGTAATCCTCCTATATCAGCCTCTCAAGTAGCACAGGTCACCATACTTGGCAAGAGTTTTTGAATGAATGAATTATTAATTGTTGGATCCTGGACTGGGCGGAGGTGGTTTCCTGATGGGAATCGGGTTACCTCCTCACTCCATGAGCTGTCTCACCTTTCGAGGTCCACAGAGCAGTGTGAACGGCACAACTTATGGCTATCTTAGATTGTCCTGGTGTTGCAGATCCAAACTTTATTACTTGGTCTGACTCCTGTTTCTTCTCCTTTCCTAGTGGACCCCCTATTGCAAAAACTGCACTTTGGCCTTGAGAGCTTAGACTTGGCAGGTGCTTCTGAACCTTCAGCCTTCATTCTGTGATCCTCGGTAGATGACAGACTTTACTTCCTCCAAGGTTGAGCTCTTCCTCTTGTTGCTAATGCACAGTTAGCAGTGTAGTCCATGAGTTCTGGCCACTCTTCACAAACTGACCCTCAATTCTGGACTAGTGAAGTCTCTCTGTCAAGATCTGTGGGATTTGTGACTCTCGGGTCATCTGGCAAGACCTCACACATGGTGGCAAGTCCAACTTCCCAGCCAACCTCACCCAGCCTGGACGTTTTTTGAGGTATATTTTCAACATTACCTGACACAATTTCTGTCCCATGGTGGAGTGCTACCCAGGAATTTCTCAAGTTTCAAGTGAGAAGCAGCTTGTGGTAATGAATTTAAGCTTGGCAGCTGTAGTTTCCAACTCAGGGGATTATGCTGACTGGACAGTGGATCTGACCTGGTCAGAGTGTATGTCTCACATCACTCCTTGAAAGTTCATATTTTTCCCCCTTAAACTCTAAATATTTTGGAAATTCTGAGTCTTTGATGTTGTAGTGAAAATGGTCGGACATTTTCCAATCATTTCTGATTTTTGATTCAACAAATCCTAAAAGTGCTCCATAGATTTATTTTTTCACTTGGTATACCAGCCTCATATTAATTTCTCCCACAGTTTCAATGTTGGAATCTAATTCAGTTCTGTGACGTTCCTTGGGCTTGTTCTGCCTGCCTTTGATGGACTACTCTTTAATTCCAGTGTCTCAACACATGGCAGGTGGAGTGGATGAGGCTCACCCCTCAGGAGATGATTTCAGCCTAGGAGGCATTTAAGTTTCACATTTTAGTTTCCAAATATGGGGATAAAAATAATTTTTTAAAAAGTTTTACTGAAGTTATGACTCATATGTTGAGCTATTAGTTCTGCAGATTAAAAAAAAATCAAATAAAAACAAATCAAACCACAAAGTTCAACAGGCCAAAATAAATGTTAAGTGGAAAAGACCCAACGGTTTTAACGATGTCTTGAAAAGTTCAAGGGAAGGGGAAGTGGCAAGTGGCCCTGAGCCTGTGTACTGGGTCCTGGTATAAAATTATTAGAATCTATAATTTCTCCATTTGTAAAAATGTAGTTATTAAGAGAACAGATTGCTTACAGAGAATTAAATGAGAATTAAATGAGTTCATTATAGTCTCTCAGGGATTCCTAGCACATGATAAGCACTAACAATTTTTGATTGTGCAATCATATTAATTCACAATTCTAGCAATACTCTTCACATTCTTGCACATTTTAAACTCTCAGCCTATCTCCTCCACTGATCCACAACATTATTAGTTTTAACTGGTTATCTCCCTATCCCTCTGTGGAATTTTTATTGATAGATGGAGTCATCTATTCTTGTGTCTAACCCTTCCTTTTCTTATATTTTAATTATAGTCAGGTTTTCTTTTCAGCCTTTGTACTGTTGGTATTTGGGGACTGATAATTTTGTTGTAGGATGTTCAGGGGCACCCCTGGCCTCTGCCCACTAAATGCCAGTAGCACTCTTTCTGAGCTCAAGTTTTAACAACCCAGAATGTCCTTAGGTATTTCCAGATGTCCTTTGGAGGATCAAATTCCCCCCAACTGAAAAAAGGGGCTTATTCTATCTTAACAACAATAACAACAGCAATATGTATATATACATATATATATAATTTATATCTATTATATATTTATATATTATATATAATTATTATAACATACATAGCCTACTATATATAATATATATGTACATATATATACTTGCCTACTAAGAATTCACATTTTTAAATTGAAATGCCAAAACAGTTAGTTGAAAGCAATGGAGGCTCTGTATAAGAGCCTGGGGAGTTCGCTATGAGATGTGTTTTCATAGAATACGTCATTCCTTTTTGGAGGCTTTAGACCATCCTCCTCTCCCGTGCTGCACGTAGATCCAGCATATAAGGCCTGACAGGAAAAGGCTGGAAACCTCGTTTTTATTGGTGCATCACAGTCATACACAACAATGGGGTTCACTTGGCCATTTCATACATGCGTATAATCTGCTCCATTCCAGTCTCCAGTATTTCCCCCTTTCTTCCCCCTCCTCCCTCTCCCTCTCCCCGATCCCCTTCTTCTACTCTTTTGATCTTTTATTAGTTTATCATTTTTATTGGTGTATTATAGAGAAACACAAAAATGGGATTTACTGTGAGATGTTCATACATGCACAGAGCATATTTGGTCAATTTCATTCTGTTGTTCCTCCCCTGTCCCATCTCTCCTCCCTCCCCTCGACCCCCTTCTGCTAGTTTACTGTTCTCTATTCTATTTTCATGGGACCCCCCCCCCCAGCCCCCTTTAAAATTCCTTGTTTCTCTCCGGCCTCTGCCTAGGAGAGAGAACATAGACCCTAGACTTTCCCCGTCCGGCTCATTCCACTTAGCTTGATGTCCTCACGTCTCGTCCATTAGCCAGCAAATGACACAACTTTATTTATGACTAAGTAAAACCTGCACCATTTTTCCAGTCTAGAGCGATGGTCCTGCACCCTCTGGGTGAAGTTCTGGATTCAAGGGGCAGAGGGGAGGGCACATACCATCCACCTGGGGGAGGCGCAGTGAAGGACAGTGAGCCACCAGTGGTGATGGGGACCAGGAGCTTTATTTTTTGACAGGGTCAGGTACAGGGATGAGTGCAGAGCCTTAGTGTACCCAGCAGGGGAAGGGTGGGGGATCGTGAGACCCTGGACATGAGACAGAAAGACCTTCTGGGGAAGTTTGGACCCTGGGCAGGAGCCCCCCGCCCAGCCTGTGGGAGCCAGAGCAGGGTGTCTGGGAAAGGTGCGTCAGGACGGGGCTTCCGTGGACTCTGGATTCTCATTTCCTCTGAAATCCCTTGTCTCGGCATCAGGATCCAGGTCAGCAGCAGCCCCCAGGGCTGTGGCCACAGCCAGGGCCCCCAGACTGCTGACCACGGCCACCATCACAGGAGTCGGAGCTCTGACGTCGGCATCGGTGGGACCTGTGGTGCCTGTGGTGGCTCAGGAAGCAGCCGCCCTCAGAGCTGGGGCCAGCGCAGCCCCCGGAGCTCGCAGCGCAGCCAGAGGCCGCAGGCAGACCCTGTGCTGGGCTCTTGGGTGAGGGGCACTTGGGAGGAGGCTGGCACTGCTGCTGGTTCTGCTGGAGGGACATCTCCACGGGAGTCAGCGAGTCTGGATGGACCAAAGACAAGGTCAGTGTAAAAGCTCTGGGCCACTCCCCCTCTCCTGGAAGGTCAGCTGCCTCCAGCCAGGAGCGGCAGGAGGGCGAGGGATGCTGCTGTGACTGCGGCTGGTTGGGTCACAGCAGTGGCCTCATACTTTACTCTCCACCCAGGACGGTTGCTGTCAATCTAACTGGACACCCAAGTTTTCGTGTCTCCAAAGAACCCCTGGTGGATCGCGTCTCTTTACAGGGAAAAGCATTCTGGAGGACGGATGTCACAGAAACGGATGAGGCATGAACAGAAAGCGGGTGGGAGGGAATCGGAGTTCCCACGGCCTTTCAGGTCATAGAATTCTTGCCGTGTCCCTCAGGGGCTCACTCCTGACCTCACTTCTTCTCACTTCTACCCCCTCAGTGCTCTTCTGTTTCAGACCTCACCATTTCCCTTCCCCTTTCTGTGACCTTGACCTTCCAACACCTCCAGTTGGGCCCACTCCCTGCTGGGCACTCACCTGGTGCAGAGGATGCAGGAGGAGACTGGTCTGTGGAGGCTGTGGATGGGGAGCCCAGGGCAGCAGCCCTTTTATCCTACACGCGGTTTGTGATGCGTCACCTGAGCTGCTGCTTTCACAACTAGGGGAGGTGACAGCTGGGCACATGCCCAGGACGAGGTTTCCAGCCTTTTCCTGGAACCCCCAGGAAGCGGGACTGTCCCAACACCTCCCACCGGCTTACCAGAGGGCCTGCCCCTTTCCCCTCACTCCGTCTCTTCTCTCCTTCCTTTCTTCTTTTTCTTTGTAATGTTCTTTATTGGTGCACTTTGGTTGTCCACAATAGTGGGTTCCTTGTGACACATTCATCCATGCACGTGACATGATCTGTGGGTCATTCCCCAGTTCCTCCCTCTCCCTTCCCTCCCCCTCCTCTAATCCCCTTCCTGTGCCCTACTGATCTCCCTTCTATTGTTATTTTTAAATTCCAAGCGATAAGTTTTGTAATATAATGTGCACAAAGTCTCCAGGCTAACCAATGGCCGTGGCCTCTAGATGCCGTCCACGGTGGCCTGCTGAGCTCCTGGCAATGGGGAAGCCGTGGGCAATGTGTGGGCTTGTTTGGTGGAAGCCCCTCATGTCATCCAGGAGGCACCCTGATTTTCTGAGCATTAAGGGGCAGAGTCCACTTAGCGATCGGTGGACAAATAAGTGGATTATTCAGAGCTAAAAAATCTTCTGTTTGATTTTAGTAAATCCATGTAATCTAAAATCTGTTTGCCTATCTGAATAATCGTCACCTCATGCTATGGTCAAAGAAAAAACATAATCAAGGCTATAATTAAACTTTAATAATGCACACGTCATTTAAATACCTTTTGTTATTAAAATAATATTCTATCCTGGGTTTATATTTTCTTGTGGATAAAAATGTTGATGGCTTAGTGTTAATTGGTGAAAAGCCGGTAATAAGCAGTGGACACAACTGGTTACATTTTTACACTATCAATACTATTTCATATGATATTTTGAGTGAAATATTTTTATAGCAAATGTCTTTTATTCTTTATGACTATTAAAACCTATAGAACTACTTCCTACCTTCAGACACTTGTGTTTTCTCACTCCATCTGAAGACTCTTCCACTCTGAAACCGAGAGATCCTATGAGTTATCTCACGACCCCACTGGGGAAGGTCTTACAGTGAACCTTAGGACGCAGCTCAGGTTGGAGGGGTGGGGAGCACAGCGGGGGAGGGGATTTGCACCTGACATTGTCCCGATACCCCTGGGGCCCTGCCTCCTGTTGGTCTGTCAACCCTTTCCCTCATGTTGGAGGAGCCCGTAAATAGGTTCTTGATTGGAAAGGAGAAACTGTGAGTCAGGAAGATGGACACCATTTTCCATGCAGACTTATGATGAGGTGAACAGGGAGAGAAGAGTGGAAATGCCTCTTTTTTTCCTGGTCAGCTTCGTTGGGCAGGGCAAGGCTTGGACAATGCCTTATGGATGGGGTGAGTCTCCCGGTTTAACCCAGAGGGTCCTAGTTTACAACTTGTGTCCCACAGTAGTTACCCAAAGGCATTTTAGTGCAGATGGTCACCAGGAGGAAGAGGCCAGCCTAATGGAGGTGCTGCTGCCAGGGCTCAGGTTTCCTCAAGAAAGTCTCGTCTGACCTCCAGGAATGAGATCAGCCATTTCCTTGCTCCCACAGACCAGATCCTACTCTTGGCTGTCATCCACCCATTCTCCTGAATTTCTTCTCTCTCAGTCAATGACCCTTCAGCCAACACCGAGTGTCAGCTGTGGGTCAGCCACTGAGCTCAGCAACAGGAACACAGGTGTAGAGGAAGGAGGTATAGCCAGCCCGCACAAGGATGCCGGTCATCAGCCAACAGGGGACACACCAAATAACGAATTGCCACTGTGGTGTGTCTGCAGTACAAATGACAGATTCTGTGGAGGAAGAACAAAGCTGACCTCATTGGGGGCTCAGATCAGTCTGCTCAAATGGACAGCATTTCTAATACTGTTCAAGAGAAGCAAACACGAAGACTCCTTTTGGTTTAAACAAGCACAATCTAGAGACCACAGGCAACAGTATCTGAAGAGCAAGGCCAATCTCAATGGCTGGGTAAGCTCCCAAGTTTCTAGGTGACTCAGGAGAGGAGAAGGGCGGACATGGAGGCTGTGAGCTGGAGCAGGAGAGGCAGCGCTGGATGGACCGTGACTCACGAGAGCTGTCCGACTGGCTTCTGTGACACTGGACACATCCCTTTGTGGATTCTAAAACATGACATGGAACTGGTTTGTGACTGCTTGAATGGTTGGTCCTTTCAGTGACGGTGACTTGGACAAGGGTAGTGATGGTGATCTCGTCTTGGACTCAGAGGCTGAGGAAATCAATTCGTAGCTAGATCACACATTATAAAAGATATGCATGATTTGTTAAAATCCAACCCATTTTTTTTAACTGTAGAAAAATTCAGACAGGACAGCGATTCTAAGGAGAAACGACGAATAGTTGAGACATACTGCGCTCATATCGAATAAAGGGAAACTACAAATCCGGAATCATCTCAACAAAAGCAGAAAAAAGCGTTTGACAAAATCCAGTACAATTCATGATAAAAACTCTTAGAAAACAAGGAATAGAAGGCAAACATCCTCAATGTGATAAGGACATGAACAACAACAACAAAAAGTTAATCTTGGACTTAAATAGTGAGAGAAAGAGGCTTTTCCCAAAGAAGAGGTGAATCTATGACATACAGAGTCCAAAATTAGATCCAGAATAGATGATTAGATTATTTTAAGCAAAGGCGGTAGTCATTTCTAAAATGGTACTGAAACACTTGGGCATCCATATGCTTAAAAAAGTCTTGCCTATCACTATATAGAGATTAGCTCAAGGTGGAGTTATATGTAAATTAACTCAATAACAGACCAAATGTGAAACACAAACCACCCAACTTCTAGTGTAAACACAAGAGAAAATATTTTCATAACTTTGGTTATGTAAAAAATTTTCAGCTATGACAAAGGCATATTTCTAAAAGAAAGTATTAGACTTCATCAAAATTTAAAAATTCTGCTTTTCAAAAGATACTTAAGAAAATGCAAATGAAATTTACAGACTTATAGAAAATATTTTTTAAATACATATGTGATATTTACTTATAGTTTTTTTTTTAAAGATCAGTAGAGAAAAGGAATGGGGGAGAGGGAAGGGGGAGGCAATAGGGAGTACTAGGGACTGAATGAGAACAAATCATATTCTGCACTTTTATAATTGTTGGGTGCCCATTGCTCAGAAAACACTCTCAGTCCGAATTTTGTCCAAATTGGAGGGTCTTTATTTAGCTGGCCCGCGACTGCCCCTTAGCAAGATGCTGTTCAGGGTGCAGTGCCCACCTTCCTGTATACATAAACACCACTTCCCCCATGTGTAGGGGTCTGCAGTTGCACAGAACAGGCAAGCTCAGTTACAAAGCAAGTTCAGTTACAGAAGCTAAAATGAGCAATTAGGTGAACCTCTACAGGGTTGTCAGTGTCTAGAGCAAGCATTTCGGACTTTTTGTTAGGGGTGGGGTGACATTTGTGGTTGGGCAGGGGTTGCAGCAATTAAGTTTGTTAATTAGGTTAAGATGGTTTATTTTTAAAATGGAGTTACTTAGGCTAAGTTCTTTAACTTATAACCAGAATAACTTAATATTGCTTATCCTAAAATTATAGGATATATTTACTGATATCCTATAATCTATAGGGTGCTTACTAAGCTAGGCCATAATAATGATTATGTCAAAATGAACCCTATTGTCATGTATAACTAAAAAGAGCCAATTAAAAACACATATGTGATTAAGAAATTCTATCCAGAATATTAAAAATGTCCCAAAATTAGTAATAAGAAAATAGACAATCTGATGTAAAAATGGACAAAATATTTGGAGACACATTTCAATGAAGAAGTCACATGGACGATAAGTAAGCACATGAAAAGACACTCATCATTAATCATTAGGGAAATGGAAATTAAAAACAAAATGAGATTCCATTCCACAGACCTTGGAATGGCTAAAATAAAAAACCATAACTGCCAATACCAAGTACTATCAAGAATGTGGAGCAACTAGAATTCTCACTCTTTGCTGGTGGGAATGCAAAATCATACAACCACTGTGGGAAAAGATTAGTTGTTTCTTTAAAAAACTTAAACATCCATTTACTATTTTTCCTTGAAATCTCATTATTAAATAATTACCCAAGAGAAAGAAAATTTATATTCCCATAAAATCCGAGGCCAGAATTTATAGTGATTTTATTTATAACTGCTCCAAACTCAGAACAACCCACATGGCCTTCCCTGCTGAATGGCTGTCACAAGACAAAACATGGTGTGTGTATACAATAGAAGGCCTTAGCAGTAAAAATGGAGGAACTTCTGATGCACAGAACGAGAGGAATGAATCTCAAGTGCATCATATGTACTCTGTGA